CTGGTGAGCAAGTGTTCCAGCACGCACGAGGTCCTGGATTTTGTTCCCAGGACCATGGAAAAGGAACAGGGAGAGAGAGAAGAGAAAGTGGGCGTGTGGGGTTCCACCAGTGCTCACTCTTTTATTCGCCTCTTCCCCTCCTGGCCTTCTGGGCTCCCTAGTTTTTCCATTTTGTGGTTTTTGAAAAAAGAAAGCTTTTCCTACGCTACTTCAGTTAAGGGGCCCTCTGCCTTGTTTTTTATCAAGAACCCCTTTCCAACTCCTCATGAGGTCGATAAGATGGCTCACGTGGTAGTTGCTGATCCCCGACTGTCATGGTGGAAGGAGAGACGAACTCTACTGAGTGGTCCTTTGTCCTTTGTCCATGTGTGTGAGTGTGTGCACAGAGTAAACTGTAATACAGTCTTTTCAGTGATTCCTGATAATGACTTACATCTTGGATAGAAAACCCTGTTGCACACTGCAGCAGTCAGGATAGGCTAGGTTTTGCTGCAGGAACACACATGTCCAGAATCCTACTGACCAAAACGAACAGGTTTCTTTCTCACCCTTACTGTGTGTCCACTGAAGGTGGAATGGGGCTTTGTTCCTGCTTGGGCATGTCTCATAGCCCAGAGCAGCAATGACTGGAATGTGGATGGGAAACTGATGGAAAGTCTCACACATGAACCATCCTAGTCTCTAAATGACATGCCACTTATACTTTCTGTCAGTCTAATTAGTCCCGTAACTCCCCCCCCCCCCAGAGGCCAAGAAGTTCAGCCCTGCCTGTGCACCCAAAGGCAGAGAATCAGGACTCTGTGGTGAACGTGAAAAGGGGTGTGTAGTATTTCTCTTGTTGAGACAGCCCAGGTTGGCTCTGAACTGGAGATCTAGCCTCTGCTGGAGTGCCAGGCTCCAGGCATGTGTCACTACACTTGGCTAAGATTCTCTTTACTTAACAGTTGAGTTTAAAGCAAAAGTCGTGAAAGCGGAGAATAATGCCTTGGATCACATACATTAAAGCATAGAAAACATAGAAGATGAGGAAATACTGGGAAAATGACCCAAGTGAAAATAACATTAGATTTTAAAGTTGGGCTGTGACAGAGGGGGCGTAGGAACAGGGGGACAGAGGGCTTCGTGGCAGCATGCTCACTTAACGCCTATGAGGTACCAGGTTCAATCCCCAGGGGAAAGAAAATGATGGCCTAGAGCAGTGGTTCTCAACCCGTGGGTTGTGACCATCGGAAAACAGATCTATGGCCTCAGGAACTGAGAGCACTGCTCAGTAGCAAAGTTACAGTTATGAAGTAGCAACAACAATTATTTTCTGCTTGGAGGTCACCACAACCTGAGGAGCTGAACTGAAGGGCTGCAACATTAGAAAGGTTGAGAACCACTGTCCTAGAGAGGTAGAGCAGCTGTTCAGAGCACTTCCTGCCCTCGCAGTGACTGGAGTTCAGTTCACAGCTGTAACTCCAGTTCCAGGGGATCCAGCGCCCTCTTCTGGGCCAGTGAGGTGGCTGGACAGGTAAAGGTGCTGGCCTCCAAGGCTGACCCCCCCAAAGCTGTTCTCTGAACCCCACAAGCCACACACACACACACACACACACATACACACACGCACACGCATGTTTGTACTTTTCTAGAAAGAAAAAAATGCATTGTATTATGTGTCATCTATAAGTAATGTCAGATATGCTGTCCAGAGTACACTCTAGACATTTGCAATTCAGGCCCTCAGAGGAGAGAAGGTATTGATGCCCACTTGGTCTATATAGTGAGACCCTGTCTTAAAACAAATAAGCCCCGAAATAAATAATTAAACTCCATTGCAACTTAAAAAGATAACAACAACCTGGCATATAAGGCTATTAGCATACTTCATATTTTAATTTGGATTTATTACCATTCTCTGACTTCATTGGTCTTAGTAAAATTAAACTAATGAGAACAAAAAGTCATATAGAAAAAATTGGGATCAGCTGGGTGTGGTGGTGCACATCTGTATTCTAACCCTTGGGGATAGGGATGGAATGATCAGGACTTTAGGTTTGAGGCCAGCCTATACTGTGTGAGACCCTGTCTCAAAAGGGGGGTTCCTTTGTGGTGTTTATAATCTGCCATTTTTATTTGCTATCAGGGACTGTATATGTCAAAAGTAATATTGTGAAAATGACCCATAGAAGTCATTTAAAAACTCACATGTGTGACTATATTCCCAGAGGAATTAAAAACCTCTGTAAAGGGGCTGGGGTCTAGCTCCGGAGGTAAGTGTTGCTTCATGTGCACTGGGGCCTGTTGCCTCCCCAGCTCTGAGTCACTGAACTTGGCAGGATCCGTCTGTAGTCTTAGCTCCTGGGAGGTGGAGGCAGAAGGGTCAAAAGTCCGGTGTATAATCTGGGCCACACAAGACTGTTTTGAGACAGGGTCTCATGTAACCCTAGCTTGTTTGGAACTTACCGTATAGACCGGACTGGTCTTCAACTCACAGATCTGCCTGCCTCTGAATAGATCCGGGCTGGCGAGGTGGCCCAGTGGGTAAAAGAACGCACTGTGCAACCCTGAGGACTTGAGCTCTGTCCCTGGAACTCACAGGGTGGGAGGAGATACCCGGCTCCTAGAAGCTGTCCTCCGGCCTCTGCACACACACATGCACGGCATGCACTAGAAGTTTTCCTCCGACCTCTGCACTCACACATGCATGGCATGCACTAGAAGTTGTCCTCCGACCTCTGCACACACACATGCACAGCATACACTAGAAGCTGTCCTCTGACCTCTGCACACACACATGCACGGCATTCACCAGAAGTTATCCTCCGACCTCTGCACACACACATGCACGGCATGCACTAGAAGCTATCCTCCGACCTCTGCACACACACACACGGCATGCACTAGAAGTTATCCTCTGACCTCTGCACACACATGTGCATGGCATTCACACCTCTGCACTGATATATATATATATATATATATATATATATATATACATATATATATATCCATACATATAGAGTAATTTTAAAAAATTGTTTGATAATTTCATGCATGCACATAATGTGTTTTAATCAAATCTACCCTATGCAATACTCTTTTGAAATAAATTTATTGTTTGAAAAAAAAAAACCAAAGCTATCTGGGAGGTGGTGGCACATGCCTTTAACCCCAGCACTCAGGAGGTAGAGGCAGGAGGATCTCTCTGAGTTCGAGGCCAGCCTGGTCTACAGAGCGAGTTCCAGGACAACCAGGGCTACACAGAGGAACCCTGTCTTGAAAAAACAAATAAACAAACAAAAACAGGAAAGAATACTTAAAAATAAAACTATTCATCATTTTTAAAATTGAATTTTTTCTAGTCTCATAATTAAAAGAATAAAATAATTGAAAAAAGCCTCAGGTGGTGGTAGTGCACACCTCAGGCAGATCTTGAGTTCCAAGCTAGCCTGGTCTACAGAGTGAGTTCTAGGACAGCCAGGGATACACAGAGAAACCCTGTCTCAAAAACAAATAAACAAACAAACAAGAAAAAGGAAAAAAAAGCAAAAAGCTTAAATTTCTCACAATGCTGTTTTATTATTTGGGGATGGAGACTGGCCCAGTGGTTAAGTGCACTTGTTTCTCTTGTGGAGGACCTGGTCAGTTCTCAGCATCTGCATGGATTCTCACAGCCATCTGTAACTCCAGTGCCAGGAGACCCAACTTCCTCTTCTGACCGCCAAGGGCACCAGGCACAAACATACATGCAGGCAAACACTCATACATGTACATTATTCCTTCATTCGTTTGTTTGTTTATTTATTTATTTTTCTGAGACAAGGTTTCTCTATGTAACAGTCCTGGCTGTCCTGGGACTCACTCTGTAGCCCAGGCTGGCCTCGAACTCACAGAGATCCACCTGCCTCTGCCTCCCGAGTACTAGGATTAAAGGCGTGCGCTGCTACCACCCAGCTCTATACATTTTTAAAAGGTCATTATTCTTGGGTTTTTCCTTTCAGTCTTTCTCCCTTATATATTTGTATATATTTAAGCAAGAGAGGACCATTAATATTTTTTTAAAAAAAGTGTTAAAGCCTTTTCCGTTCAAAATTGAGGAGGTGCTCTCATGTTGGGGTTCACTGAGACAGAAGGAAATGAGAAGGCTGTGGACTTACACTCCACACGCCCTGGAGTGGAGGAAGAAAGCGGGGCGGAGGTGTCCTCTGCCCGCAAGGCTTGAGGGATGGAGGCGGGCAGTGGGTTGGAGATGGAATTGTACCGGATTAGAGATAGTGCAGGAAGTCATTTACACTCTCTAGGGAAGACGGGGCCTGGGCAATTAAAACTTTTCCATCTGATTAATGATTGCAGTTTACAGAGGCAGCGTGAAAGGCCTGTCTCGTTTCTCATCAGGTGAACCCGGAGAATTTCCTTTTTTCTTTCTGATTTTTCAAGGCAGGGTTTCTCTGTGTAGCCCTGGCTGTCCTGGATCTCACTCTGTAGCCCAGGCTGGCCTCGAACTACAGAGATCCGCCTGCCTCTGCCTCCCGAGTGCTGGGATTAAAGGCGTGGGCCACCGCCACCAGGCCTTAGAATTCTTATATGAGGGGCTGCTCTGAAGTCCCCTGCAATTGCTGATCTTCTGGGTTGGGGGAGGGGAGGGAGGATAGGTACCAAGCAAGTCTAAAGTATTTTGTCCAGGCTTTCTTATTAGTGCCCACCACATTTAAAGTGCAGAGCCCGTCAGTGTGCTGGAGTGATGGATGGCGTGGCCCTCCTCACCTTTTGTGTCCCTCCCTTATGTCCCAAGCATCTTTCCCTGGAGTAAAGTCACTTTTGAACATGTGGCTTTGACAGAAAGTGGGTGGGTGCAGCCTGACTGTGTGCCCAGCCGCGAGGGCACCGCCCAGCCGTGGGGGCGCCGTCTGTCCGTCTAGACCTTGCCATCCGTCCGTCTAGACCTTGTTTGAGGGCTGTCATGTCTCACTGGTCCTCACGGTGTGTGTGCCTCTCTGTCTCGCCTCCCCGACTCGCAGGGTTCTGGCTCGTGTGGACCGTCATCATCATCCTGAGCTGCTGCTGTGTCTGCCACCACCGCCGGGCCAAGCATCGCCTTCAGGCCCAGCAGCGGCAACATGAGATCAACCTGATCGCCTACCGGGAAGCTCACAATTACTCAGCGCTGCCATTTTACTTCAGTACGTACCCCACAGGCCCCCAGACCCCACCCTCGGGAGCGTGGTTGCACAGAGCCCGGACCCAAGTGGTCCATCAGTGGCCAGGGGTCCGAAGGTCGCCCCCACTGTCCCACCCAGCCTCTCTGGAGTAGAGGATCACACAGTGGATCAGGCTACCGTTGGGGTCCCCAAGTCCTCAGGGCCATTCCCAAGCTCACAGCAGCCAGGTCTCTGATCCTTCAGCAGGTGTATATGCACGCATGTACAAGTATATTATATGTACATGTATATATATTTTATATATACATCTGTAAATTAATATAGGGTCTCATGTAGCCCAGACTGGCCTCAATTCCCTATGGAGCCTGAGAATGGCCTCCAACTGGATTTTTTTTTAAGGCACATAGTCAATGGAAGTATAATTTTAGTGGCTTGGAATCTGGCGCTCATTGGCCTGAATCCACCTGTTTGGCTTGCTCCCACGGCTGTTCCTTACGGAGTCTTCTTGAAAGGGGCAGGTCTAAGTTTGGGGACTTCCTGAGAACCAAGGAACTTGGTGAGGTAACTGAAATCCTTAGACTGGAGTTCCCCATACCGTGCTCTCACGTGGTCCAAGGAGGCCCCAGCCAGGCATCTTGTCTTAAGCCGTCTGGCACATTATACGAAAGAATGGTGCCCCAACGTTTGGGCTCTCATAGCGGGGAGAACCAGTTAGCTGCTGGGCATGGTGCCCCGTGCATAGTGAGTGCTCATCAAATGCTGGCAGTTGCTGCTGCGGCTTTAAATGAGATGCTCTGGGCCTCTAGGCAGTCGGCACCTTCAGGAGGGAGCTCACCTGGCGTGTGTTTAATGTGACACACTCACCCCTGACTGGTAACCCACCACTCCTGAGCTGAGTCAAGGCGAAGCAAGCCTGTTTTGTCTTTCCAGATCACCTTCAACCACACTGTAGTGAAAGAGGCAATCTGGATATCTGACCTAAAACGCCCCTCTACATGACGTATCTGAGGGGTAGGGAGAAAAGTGTGTGGTCCATAATGCTTACGTTAGGGCCCTTGACCAAAGCCTGAGGACAGGTGGAGGGTACAGTCTGAGCAAGAAATGTGGGGCCAGCATTGGAGAGAGCTCAGTGGTTAAGAGAGAGCATGTGTGGATCCGCCTGATGGCCCACGTTTAGTTCCCCCACGTAGACAGGCCTCTGTAACTCAGGCCATCAAGCGCCCTCCTCTGGCAGCACTAGGTACTGCGCCTAAGTGTATAAACTCACGCTCTCCTCTCTCCCTCTACTCCCCCACCCCACACAAAACTAAAAAACAGAAGCTTTTTAAAAGAAAGAGGCATGCGGCTTGTGTGTCCTGGGAAACAGGTCCATTCTAGGAAGGAATTGTCTGCCGGCCGGTTCACCACACCTGCCCCCTTTGTCCCTCACACCAGGAAGGCAGGAGGTCAGATGCCAGGAAGGATCATCAGCTCACACCCACACTGTTCTTCCCCTAGGCAGCTTGTGGGTTGCAACCCCTTTGGGGGTCGAACGATCCTTTCACAGGGATCACATATCAGATATCCTACGTATCAGATATTTACCATTCATAACAGTAGCAAATTTATAGTTGTGGAGTAGCAACAAAAATAACTCGTGGTTGGGGTCACCACAGCATGAGAGAGCACTAAGGGGAGGTCGAGAACCACTGCTGTGGGCGGTTGCGGCCCCCTCCCCTTACCCACAGCTGGTGGCCCCGCTTCAGAGGGGGGAGGGGGACAGTGTCCTGTCTAGGGTGAGCTTTGTCCGGCTGCCGGCCAGTGAAGTAATCTCTCCTCCGTACCTCCCTGTTTTAGGGTTTCTGCCAAACTATTTACTACCTCCTTATGAGGAAGTGGTGAACAGACCTCCAACTCCTCCTCCACCGTACAGTGCCTTCCAGCTTCAACAGCAGCAGCTGCTGCCTCCTCAGGGTGGCCCTGCGGGCGGCAGCCCCCCAGGCGCTGACCCGCCCCAGGGCTCCCAGGGAGCACAGAGCAGTCCTTCGTCCAGACCCGGTAGAAGCAGCACAAGACCCCCGAGTGTCGCTGACCCTGAGCCCTCTGAAGTGCCCGCTGACCGGGCGGCCACCAAAGCCCCCGGGATGGAATCCAGTGGCTCGGTGGCCGGCCACGGGGAGCCGGACCCAGGGGCCTTCCTGGACAGGGATTCGGAGTGTAAGGAGGAGCTACTGAAAGATTCGAGCTCGGAGCATGGTAGTGTACTCCCCGACAGCAAAGACAAGACACCTGGCAGGCATCGCCGCTTCACGGGGGACTCGGGCATTGAGGTGTGTGTGTGTAACCGGGGCCACCACGAGGATGGTCTCAAAGAGTTCAATACGCTCATCGATGACGCCCTGGATGGGCCCCTGGACTTCTGTGACAGCTGTCACGTGCGGCCTCCCGTTGACGAAGAGGAAGGGCTCTGCCTGTCCTCTGAGGAGCAGGCTCGAGAGCCCGGGCACCCCCACCTGCCACGGCCGCCCGCATGCCTGCTGCTAAACACCATCAACGAACAGGACTCACCAAACTCACAGCGCAGCGGCTCCCCCAGCTAGAACAGGCCCTGCCTGCACCCGAGAGCTTGACAGACAACCAGAGTGGGGGGCACCCACGAGAGAAGCATTAAGTGACTTTCAGAAGTGGGACAACCACTTTGTCCTTTGATTTTCCCCTCCTGGCCCACCTTTCCCACATCTCCGGGTACAAGTTTGGGGTGTGGATGCCTCCTCTCCCCCACAAAAGCACAGTGTTGTAGAAGACTGAGAATCTGGTTCTGGGACTCAGCCCACACCCCACTTTTCAGAGCTGTATCTCACCTACCTGCTTGACCGAGAAACGTATCTGAAGAGCCCCCAGGACTGGGCCTGAGCTCCAAGATGGTTCTCGATGACAGAGTGGCTTCGAAGAGAACGTCGCTGTGTCTCGGTCCGGGAGAGACAGTTTATCTTGGCCCCGGGTGAAGAAGGAAACCCTCAGGGGCCTGTCTGTGGCTGTCACCTGTGACTGCCAGTGTCTGCGGAGCTGGCGTTGGTCTAATCCTGTGGGAGGGTGAGAGCTGATGGACAGGCTGGCGAGGGGCTAGTTGATCTGACAGGCCCCAGCTGGGAAGTACACCTCCGTGCGTTGTAGAGGGGGCCCCTCCCAGCAGGCTTTGGCTGGCTTCAGCCCGGTTCAGGTGTAGACGCTTATACTGTGTTCTCCTTTAAAAACACGGAAGAAAGGCCAACAGTATCCGTGGGTAGGCAAGGATCCTCTTCTGGACAAGGGAATTCTGTAGCCCTCCCCCAGGGTAAGTTTCCAAGAGTCTGGCTACTGTTGGGCCAGGAGGAGAGAGTGTGGTAGTCCTGGGCCTTCTGTGAGTGGAGGCCTAAGTCTGACATCTGGTAGAGAGAGACATGGCATCCTCCATGTCTGCCCATTGTCCATGCTCACAGGTGACCAGTGGTCCCACCCATCCTGAACACAGTCTGCAGTCTCTCCTCGTCCTCTGTAAGCAGATGGGCTGAGGAAGTTGTATGTCCTGGGCAAGGCAGCCTCGGCCCCTACACGGTATTTTCTCTTGAGTTATCCAGGTCTGTTTGTGTATTTGTTTGTTTTAAACCGACCACTTGGAAGGAACACCTTGGTTACCTGTGGTTCTCACGGCTGCCCCTGCCCAGAGCCTGCTGGAGAGGGGTGACTCACTCTCCTGTAGAGCCTTTGTAGAGTCTCTCAGGCACGAGGTGACAGCCATCTCCAGCAGGACCTCGGGCCTGGTTGCTGTCATCTGGCCCTAGAGACGCGATCGTGCTTTGACAGGAGAGCAGAGCATAGAAGCAGCTGAAATGAGCATTCCCCACCCAGCCTGTCCGTGCGGAGTTTGGTTTTCCCTGCTCTTGAACGATGATATGTAGACTCGGCACTGTCATTATAGTGAGGAAAGGAAAAAGTTCACATGTAAACACACACCTACACATCTGAGGCTGTGAGGTGATGTGTGTCTGCATGTGGATGCCACAAACCAAAATCCTTGTCGAACAAAAGTGAAGTCTACACAGTGATGTTAGATGATGCGTGTGTGTGTGTGTGTGTGTGTGTGTGTGTGTGTGTGTGTGTGTGTGTTATCGAGTGCAAGTATGCGAGTTGTATGTGGCCTCCATGCCCCTGTTCCTGTGAAGATACTTTGAATGACCATTCTGCTCGTGTTAACCACATGTCTGGAGCACCAATGGCCGGCTCAAGGTAATTTATTTTACGCATTTACTGTTTACCGAACAAATATCTGACTGTACTCGGGTGTCGCCAGCAGCGCCTGTGTGTGCCAGCGACCCTGCCCTCCAGGGAGAGGTTTCTTACTCAGCTCACCACTGCGATCGGCGCATGGCTCCACGGACACTCAGAGGCCCGCATCCCCTTCCCTGTACATGGAAACGTGTTCTGAACTGGTCTCCCTCCCTCTGCTGCCTTCAGACAGCTTGCTAGAGGCTTGAGTGACAAGCTTGGACTGGTTGTGGCTCAGACAGCGACCTGCCCAGGATCACCAGGAGTCTCTCACAGACACCGTGATGCCACAAGCATGCCCCTCCTCTGCTGAGGTCTAGAGGGTTGGTATGTGGTCAGAGGGCCCCCAGCTGCAGCCCCCACACACCTTTCCCGATACCTTCTTGTTAAAATCCCAGACAACTCAAAACCTAGGATCCCAAAATGAACCCCTCTTTAGTTAACTGCTGATGAGGTGGGACCCCTTCAGGTTTCTTTCCCCTGGCAGGATGGGAGCGGGCCTGAGAGGACTGGCTTCGCTGAAGCACCCGCCAAGATGACCAAGCCACGGTCCGGCCCCCGCTGCTCTAGGCCGCACTGGCGCTCAGAGAGAGCACAGGAAATACGAGTTAGGGGCCGGGGAGACTTGGCTGAGTTGGGTTTCCAGGTAAATGGAGGAGGGGTTAGGCAGAGGGCTTGGTGCTCCGGTCAGCTCTGCAGCCGCTAACACATTCCTGTGTGAGGCACATCGGCGTCCGTCAGTTATTGTGAATATGTGTATCTTAAGCAATAAGAGTCCGCTGCTCAGACTCCCTGGGCAGTCCGGAGGACGCATCTCCTGTGCCGTGATTGTTCTGAAGGCAGAGTGGATCTAACCACTGTGAGAAGCCCCTAATAAACCAGTCCCGAACGGTCTGCTGCTCTCTTCCTTGGCACACTTCCTTCCTTCCTTCCTTCTTTCCCGGACCTCAGGTCACCACCCTCACCTTTGCCCTTCTCCACACCGAGACCAAGTGGTGTCACAGCAGTTAAGGACAGGGTCCTGGGCCAGTGGTAGGCAGGGGTTGCTGCCGAGTCCATTCTTGGTCCCGAGGAATTTCCTTCAAATTCGGTTCCTAATACCAAAAATACTTTGTGACATTCCATAAATATGTAAAAAATCCAACCCCAAAGGCAGAGACAAGTGTCGTCCCAAACTGGACTGGTTTGGGGGCTTTTTATTTTTTATTGATTTTTCTAGATTATGTTTGGGGGTGTTTTGCTTGTATATAGCTGTGCACCACATGCATGCAGTACTCATGGAGGCCAGAAGAGGGCATCATCCCCTGGAACTAGGGTTACCAATGGTGTTGTAACTAGGATTACCAATGGTGCAAGAACAGATGCTCTAAACCCCTGAGCCATCTCTCCAGTCCTGATTTTAGGGTTTGTTTTTGTTTGAGATAGGATCTCACTCTAGCCCAGACTTTCCAGGGACTTCGTACCTAGCCTTGGCTCATGGTGGAACTCCTGTTTCAGCCCAATGCTGGAACTGCAGGAGAGAAGCCGTCACACTCTGCCCTGAGAGTTGGTCAGCACAGTGTGTGTTGCGCTGCCTGTTCTGTACCCAGCAAATGCTGGAATCTGAGGGAGTGTGACAGAAGCGAGAGCCACGTGCCCCGTTCTCCCGGGCTCGTAGGTAAGACGGCACAGTACGCCTGTGCAGAATAGTCAGCATGCAAGTGAGATGTGAGTGTAGGGTAGGAGACTGCAGGACTCCTGGGAGGCCACCTGCGATCTTAAATGCTGAGCTGGAGGTTCTCAGCGGGTTTTTAAGTGTGTGTCTGTCATTGTGGACCAGCGATTCCTTTGCTCAGCTCACCCTCTTGTTTTAACACATCTTGTAGAGCTTTGAGTCAGGCCTCAGGCCCTGAACAAAGACTAGCTTGCTGCCTCTGCTGGGGAAGGAGGCCCGTGCCCAACACGACTTCTCTTTAGGCAACTTGTGAGTGGCAAAGCATGATGAAGCACAGCCTGGCCCCCCTCACAGAGGGGGTTCCTGCTTCCTAGGTGTGCTCACCATAGGCCGAGTCCCCTGGGCAGTGGCTGCAACTGTTGTCCTGAGCTGTAGAGGTTGCCTGGTAGTCGGCCCCGTTACATTTGAGAGTTTGAATCAGCCAGACATGGCCCTGTCATTGGTCCTCTGTTGAGATAGCTGCTCTCTACTTCTGAGCGGCCAGGCTCCAGGCAATACCCATGAAACCACGTTAGCATGTAAGGACAGTTCCTCTGAAGCCTGGGAACAGCATGGTGGTGCATGCTTGCAGCCAGCACCCAGGGAAAGGCAGCTGCGGATACACAGTGAGTTCCAGACCAGCTTAAGCTGGCAAGGCCCTGTTTTAAAGCAAAACAACCAAAAACCCACAGGAAAGGGCCGGAGGTGCACACCATTCCTGCCTTCCTAGAGCTAATGCCTGAGTGACTCGAAGAGAAAATGGCCTAACTCTTCTGGGCCCGTTGCCAGGGAGTGTCCGTGTACCCTTGATTTCTAGGCCCCTGGAACACTGGGTCGTGGGAGTTCGTTTTTTTCTAATGAGGTATGAAGATTGTCTCTACTGCCTCACGTGACCAAGTTCAAGTAGAGATCGTATTTGCCCAGAAGCCCAAGACAACCCCAGTTTCCTGTTGTTTGTTTTTGTTTGTGTTTTCAGTTTCCTGGTTTTAGCTATTGAGAACGAACAAAAACAAAAAAATCAGGGCTTGGCTCTAGGAAAGAAAGAAAGAGGCGTGGCTGAGTGCTGGCGGTTCCTTGCTGAGCCCGAAGAAGAGCTGTGGCTGGGGAGGTGTCTGGGTTTCAGGGTCCAGCCTGGGAGCAAGTGTCTGAGCGTTAACCAAGTGTGGTGGCACAATCTGGACTCCCGGCGTCTGGGAGGTGACATGGGAAGTGAAGCGGGGGGAGGCATTAAAAAGGAGGACATGACTGCTGCCAGGTAAGGTGGAGGAGGAGAAGGTGTGTCGTAGACAAGAGAGAGAGCACAGGGAGAGGCAGGGGCGTCTGGGAGAGTCCAGAGTGGGCATAGCCAGACTGAGCCAGGCCATGTGAGGAGAGGGGGAGGGGAGAACCCGGATATCAAGAGACCACAAGGGTAAAAGCTGGTGTAGCCAAAATGGCGGAATTATACAGGAAGAACAAATAGGCACCTAACAAGGGTCAGGAGTTCAAGGTCATACTTGACTACACAGTGGTTTTAAGGCCACCCTCTGGTCTCAAGGAGACTGCCTCAAGATACATGCATGTACATGTATGTACGTATGTAGAACTGGGAAGTCTTTAATGAGCACCTGCCATGGGCTGGGCATCGGGAATACACAGCTGCCTGGAACCTGGGTCGTATTCAGAATGGAGACCTGGAGCGGAATGAGGCACACCGCTAGTGTTAGTACAGCTGAGAGCTCAAGGCAGGCTTCCTGGGAAAGTGACTCCATGGTTGCCGGGGCACCGAGTGCCAGATTAGTGGGTGCCTTCTGCTATGTGCCAGGTGCTGAAGAGCGCAGAAAGGCCCAAGAGGTCCAGCCAGGAGCCACGTGTGGTGTAGAAAGCTGCGAGCAGCGTAAGCCCCTGTCTCTGCACCCGGGAGTTGGCGAGAGCTGAAGCCGGGAGGTAAGCAGGTAATAAACTGTTCGGGTTGAACTTGGCCCCTGTCCTGTTACTTACCGGCCATTGACACGAGACAAGTCTTGTTCAGACGTCTCCCTAGTCACATTTTCTTAACCCTAAACGGCTCAAGACACAGGTTGGAATTATTCCTGCTCTGTCAGTGGTGAGGAGGAAGACATGTTCAGAGGGAGGGACTAGATTTGACCAAGATCACGCTGCTGAGTAATAGCAGACCTAGGATTTGAAGCCAGATCTGTTGGTCCCAAAGACCGTTCTTCTGTTAACCAGAGGGCCAGACAGCGAAGAGCTGAAATGTATCCAGAAGCCATCTGAAGAAACGAGTGACTTCCCAAAGATGAGAAAATCAGTGAAGGGCCTGTTGAGTGTGAAACTCCCTAAAAGGTGAAGACAGGTAACATTTCCTCAGCCACCTATCCGGGCCTCACACTCTCCAGTCTACCCCCAGGGATAGGCAGTACCGCTGTAGGTTTCAGGTCAAAGTTGAACTTCCTGTAGTCCCAACACTGGAAAGCAGAGGCAAGTGGATTCAATGAGTTCAAGGCCAGCTGAAGCTCCACAGTGAGGCCCTGTCTCAAAAAACAGTGCAACAGGGCTGGAGGGGTGGCTCAGAGGTTAGGAGCGTCGACTGCTCTTCCAGAGGTCCCGAGTTCAATTCCCAGCACCCACATGGTGGCTCACAACCATCTAATGAGATCTCTTGCCCTCTTCTGGCCTGCAAGGACACATGAAGGCAGAACACTGTATATGTAATAAATATATATAAATCTTAAAATTTAAAAAAATACAACAATAACAATAAAACCCCCACAACAAAAGTTCACTTATGTGAGGCAGGCATGGCCCTTGGAAATGGTCAGAAGCTCAGGAGTTAAAGCTGGAGTGTGCGTGCGTGTGTGTGTGTGTGTGTGTGTGTGTGTGTGTGTGTGTGTGTGTGTATGTGTGTGTGTTTCCTCCAGAGAAGGTAAAAATAGAATTGTCAGTTTGGGGGAGGGGGCAAACTTTTGTTTGTTGGGAAATATCGCCTCCTTATAAGCCTGCTGCAGCCACTGGGAAACGTTACAGAACACCTGAGTGGGAGCCATGGGCGTCTTGTGGGTCCTCGGCTCCCTGCCTCCTTCTTGGCCGTCAGCACTACCTGGCTCTTGGGTGCAGGTGGGTTCCGGAAGTCTCAACAAACCTCCCGACCCAGCCTACTTCTGAGAAGTAAAACCCTCAGGTTAGGCCTTAATTTTTTATGAAATACCGATAAGGCCAATGTTTATTGAGGAACCAAGCGTGCCATGTAAGTCCATCCTCAAACCTCAGAGCAACACTGAGAACATTTCCTCTACACACACCTCGGCCCCGCCCCGCCCCGCCCCCCCCCACTGCACCCACATATTACAGATGGGAAACCTGGGGTACGAGAAAGCCCAGTAAGTTGTCTGCGGTCACTTGGTCTCTAAGTAACACTGAATCTGTCTCCATAGGCTGCCCTTGTCACACACGAGGAACTTACCTGCCCACACCGCCCTTTGTGTTTTATCCTGACTCAGGTGTCGGACCGGGCAGCTTTCGGGAGTGAGCTTACCTTACATGTGAGAACATGGCCGCTCAGGGACTCGGCAGTAGGAATAGGATGCGGGACTCGGGCTGGGAGGCCGGGGACCATCCTCTAAGCATTCTCTTTCCCAGTGTCCCTCACTCTACTGCCTCTGATTGGTCCCCTGCTAGCCATAGGTGGACACCTATCTGTGTGATCGCAGAGTGCAGCCTTTACCTTGGGTTTATGTCTACCAGAGGCCCCAGGAAACACTAACTTGCACACTGCACACATCCTCCGGGGAACACCGTGCCCCTTCCCTCGCTCCCAGAGGGCCCTGTGGGAACTGTTTTTCTGAAGGATAGGAACTGTGGGGGAGGGGGGGGGTAGGTGTTTTAGCTTACAAGAGTTAATTATTACTGAATGTCCAAAGATTTTTAAGAGCTGCTTATTAAACAGGCAATTAAAAAAACTAAACCCACACATGAATATATTGAAAACAGGTAATGACTATTCAAGTGGGCCATTTCCTGGCATTCCATGTATTATCTATGCCCCCGAACATACATAGGGCGTTTACTATTTGCAGTCGCAATAAAGTTTCTCTCAATGACAGACCACATACACAGCAATAAGATTATAGTAAAGCTGAAGATTTCCGGTCTCCTGGTGACGTTGTGGCTGTCACAAAGCACAGCATGGCAAATTAGTATATGTTTGTAGTGATGCTCATAG